AACATATTGGTCTTTACTTATTAAACAAACTATCTTTAACTTTCACATGTCCAGATTACTCTTGCTTAACTTCAAAAATTCTTCTGAGAAGTTTAAATAATTATCTCGGTATCTGGAATGTAATACTTATTAACTGATATCTTTTAAGGTTCGATTTTCAAGTCTTCAGGTAAACTCAAACTAATAACCCTTATTTCAGGTTTCCATAATTTTCCCGGCTAAGTGACTATTATATGTCGATACCTTAAACTTATACTCATTGATTTCTGAAAAGTACTTTGTATAGTTATATTGTTACTAACAAGTACTAATACAAAATAACTTATAACTTAATCTCGAACTTTGCCAATTTTTAGCTTATGATATCTAACTAATAAGATATCAAAACTTCTGACTTGTAAAGATTGACTATTTTCTAAAACTTTATTTCTACGGTTCAGTTTCAAGCCTACAGGATCTTATCCGGCTTTTGGTTCTTATTTCAAACCCCCATGATTTACTTGTACTTTTTGGCTATTATATACTGAAATACCGTTACTTCTAATACTTGGCTCAAATACATAATCAACCTTTATAGTCAGATCTTAACTCAAATCTTAATCTGATGGCTTAACTTAGAATGTTCGAGTCTCTTTCTTGATCTAGTTAACTTGATAAACTAGATTTCAAACTTTGATACTAATCTGAACATATAGACTGATTTCTAGAGTTCGGATTTCTGAATTCTTGTTGAGCATAGACTTAGTAAATTTGAATATATTTAAAAACTTTTATAAAAACTTTTTAACAACACTTACCTGGTAGTCGGCGAGGTGTGAGTGTGCTGTGGTCGGTTTTCCTGAAACTGTTTTATGAAACTTAAACTTTTAGTATACAGAGCACTTACTCTAGCTCTGATACCACCTGTAACACCTCGCTCATCAGAGTAAATTTTTCGCAACTTTTACTTCGAAAATACTTATAAATATTTCGAAATCTTTTGCGACTAACTCGGGATGCTACTCAAACTCATCTTCTTGAAAATCTATTTATCTTTAAACTTTTGTCTAATACTTCATTAGACATAAAGAAAACAGATTTCCTTTAAACTTGCATTTAACTGTACCATATTCATACTTCTCGAAATGGTAAAAACTTGAAATCTGAAATGCAAGTTCAATACTTAATGTGCACAGCGGAAATACTTAAAAACATGGTTTATTATACAAACAGATCAGATACTTAATAAATGTCCACTTGAAATAAGTGCACGACCACCACCACCACTGCTCAGCTCACACCTCCGTCCCGATCCTGTTATCTGAAAAACACAATGGGGGTGAGTACTGATCCTCTTATACCCCGAAAAACACCCATACTAAAGTAAACAACAATAATAATACAATATCATGATCTTTGGTATATATCTGGACTGAAAATCTGTTCCAGTAACTTAAACTGAATCTGGCCGATATCTGATCGGATACTTGTGCACAATCTGATGGATATTTCATAAGGAAACTCAAACGGCCTCCATCAGAACTTAGGATATACTCTGAGACAACTGAATGCCTCCTCATCCCAAGCGTATAAACTTAAAATGTATACATACCTCGAACATGATATCAATATTATACTCAATGTAATACCCAGTCTGGGTCCCCACCTTTCTTCTTCTGAAAACTTTTGAAAAATGTAAGTGTTGCTCTTGGGTAGCTATATCTGCAAGCTACATAAAAATATAAACAAATATACTAAGTATTACGCTCGTATACTTAATAAGATTTAACTCTTACTTATCCGAATCTTAAAGATATTCAATGAGCTTAATATGTATCAAATAAATATTAAGTCATCAAACATCTTAACTTTTTCCAACATCATCAACATGATTTATAAACTCATCTTAATCTTTTACTCAATCAAATATTTAATTCATCATACATCATATCTCCCAAATTTTAAATATTTTCTTATATTAAATTTTCACTTAATTAACTTGAAAGTGAAAATAAACTCAAGTCATACTTCAACTTTTAATCATAACATTTAATCATAATATTAATATGTCATACTTAATACAATCTTTATGAGATTATATACTCAACATATTAAACTAAAACTTTGCCAAATTGCTCATCACTTATATTAGAATTGGTCATAATAATCTCACTTTAATAACTTGATCATATCATGAATATTCTTGCATATATACTCACCTTTACATATATGCCTTGTAATTATCATAACTCATTCATTTCTCATCTTCAAATCATGAAATTTAACAGTCATAATCTCAACTCATAATTAGACATGTCATAAAAATTTCAAAATTTTAGCATGCATATACATTAAGTTATTAGAATTTAAAGTCATAGTGAACATAAAATTCATCTTGCATGTTCAACTTCAAAAATTTATAACTCAAGCTATACTTTGCCAAATCACTTAATTCTTGTTCTCATGTACTCGTCTTTTACACAAGAATCATTCATTTAAATCATACTTTTCCAGCTTATTCATATCTTTATCAACATCTCATCAAATCAAGCACATATATCATATAATTGATCTTGAACTACTTTAACTCTTTGTATTAATAGAATCAATTATAAATTTAACTTCTAAATCATGATATACTTACTTATAACATATAAACTCATAACATGAACTTATGCATAAAACTTTAAGATAAGTAAATTACCTCCTTCTTGCTAGAATCGTAACTTGATTCTTCACTTCTAAATTCTTCACTTCTTCACAATTTCTATTACTTATCTCTCTTACACTCTTATATATCTTTTGGTACCTTTCTTTGGTGTGAGAACTCTGATTTTTAGGCCTCTATTTATAGGCACAATTTGGCAAGACATCATAATGGAGTGAAGAAATGAACAAAATAAACAATTTAAACTTATAAATTTAATTAATCATAAACTATTTTATGATTAACTTGGATTCTTATCCAAACATAATTAATCATAAAAAATGGCATCTAGTTATAGCCATGAATGAGCTTTTTGGTAGATAAAACTTATTCCACCAAGTTTAATAAAATTCTCACCAATTGTTGAAAAAAAATGCTAATTTAAAGACTTAGCAAAACTTTGTTGTGATTTTCTCATCTCATTCTCACCAATTGATTCTACAAAATTTCGTGCTTAATGTGACGTAATTGATTCCATATATTATTGGAAAAATGTCACCATTCATCATATAAAAATCTTTGGAACAAAATAATAAAAATAATAAAAATCATATTTTTTTTATTACTTATGCATTTTCTTTCTAAATGGCTTATTTTTAAAACTCTTTTACTGAAAAGTAATGCTCATATATGGTCTTGGATCATGCTAATAAATCGAGAATAATACAATTTACGGAACTCAATTCGGATTTAAAACGAACGTTTACCGTAAAACTGAAAATTCCAAAATTTAAATTCTTTACTCACAGTTTTTCTTCAATTTAATGAACATATTGTTTCTTAGGATCTAATATAATTATCTTGAAATATTCTACATTTACGGAACCACATTCGGACTCAACCGAACAATTACCGTAAAACCAAAAATTTTAAAAATTTTGGTTTCTCTTAAAATAATTTAAATAGACTATAATGTCTAAATAAATTTTCTCACTTCTTTGAACATTTATCACTTAAATGTTCATGGATACTTAACCGCACTTTGAGACTTAACTTGTATCAACTTATGCTAAGGCTCGATATTATGATCTTATCTTGATGACTTAAACACTTAGAAAAATTCTAAGTATTTAGTACTAAGACTCGGCAATTTCTTAATTAAGTTCAACTCATGACCGAACATACTTGGGTTCAGTTCACTACTTATCTTAAACGATTAATCAAAATATACTCAATTTCGATTATTCGTCATCTTATATTAATTAATCCCGTCTTATAAATCCATTTATAAAAATAAACAGACCGGAATTAATTAATTACTAAACTGGCTCGATTACTGAATAATATTTAACCGAGAATACTTTCGACTTAAAGTCGAATTTTTAACTGAATAACTTAATTACTGGCTCGGAACTAGGAACGAGCATTAATAAAAGTAATTAGTTCATACTTAGAATAATTACTTTTATTAATTACTGAATGGGATTTTACAGAGTACAACCGGAAAATATTGTACTCACACTATGCATATGAACAACATAATAATGGTATGGTCGCAGCATGAACATAAACAATAATAACATCATGTCTTATCTCAGTCACATCAATGACTCACTCCTGTGTACACATCTTTCATTAGTCGCAGAAAGGGGATTCATTACCCTAACGGCGAGAGTGCGTGCCACGCAAGGACACGACCTTTCATTAGGTCTTAAAGAGACTTGCCTCGTAAGGGCAACCGTATTACATCAACGGGGACAACCGTACCAATGGCCATCAAGCTCACATCGATAGGCTACATGCTCATATGCATACATAAATCATACCAAATTTTTCAAACACACTTAAGCACACATATGCATAGACTTTTTAGAATAACTAACCCACCTGGATATTCTGAACTGAAATTGAGAGTCGTCGCTTATGTGGAAACTCGAGGGCTCGACTCCTCAGAATCTACATAAAAATAAGCGATACTTGAATAAACAACTAACTCTTAACTCGGTAACTAATTTACCAATTTGAAGGATTTCCTAGCTTAAGGTTCACGATTTATAAAATATTTACTTCTATTTTTTAGATGTGGTAACTCTCGGCTCGGACTTGTAAAAATAAAGATCTCAAAAATACTTTTTAAAGTATAAAATTTAGCCTCGGCTTAACTCCACAAAATTCCCATTTTATAAAAATTTTATAGGCTAGAATAAATAAAAACCCTTTTTTTTATAAGACATTCGCATATCAATTTTTCCAACATAAATTGTTGAAAAAAAATTAGGTAAAATCTCACGGCTCTTAAAATAACACTCACGACAAAATAACACTTCCTTTACAAAAAATGGATAATTAAATGAGTGTAATGAACACTTACTTGTGAGGATTGTTCTGTCCCAACTGTGGCCTTCTTTGCCCTTTTCCTTTTACCTCTGTGAGCAGCAGCTTTTGCTCTTTTACTTTCAAGCTATAAAATAAACACAGAATAAAGTAAAGTCACATTAACATAGAATAAAAAATAAAAGAACATAACTTATAACATTTAATAGAAAACTTACAATTGTATCAAAAGCCCTTTTCAATGGAGAGTTGTCCACTTCTTGAGTTACTTGACTTTGGTTTTGGCTTAGAATGTTCATTTCTTTCTCCTTTCTTTTCTCACAAGACCTTGCATTGTGGCCAGCCATGCCACACTTTTTGCACCTCACAGTTGGCTGTTGCCTCTTCATTTTCATTGGTTGTTTCCCTCTCCTCTTTTTCTCTTTCTTTGTAGGCTCTTCTTGATCTCTTCTTCTTGCCTTTGAAGGCCTGCTAGCACCCCTCCCAAAGTTGGGGGGTAAAGGAGGAACAAAAAGGGTCTGTCTCCACAATGAAGGACCATTTGTGCCTAGTATTGACCCCCTATACACATTCCTATAACACTCTTGTGAATAAGAACCATCTACAAAGTCAACAGGCACCAACTTCTGAGCTATTATGGCACTACATGCATGCTTACAAGGAATGCCCCCCAAATCCCATACCCTACAGCTGCAAATTCTCTTCTCCAAATCAACAGTAAACTGTGATCCATCATAACAATTAATCTGATAGTGCCTATCATCACATTTAATTGGCATGCACTCAGATACATGTGACAAGTGTTTCTGAAGGATCAAGTTTATGTTAGGGCAAATTTTGTTCTTCCACTTCAACTCTGCCTTATCTCTTTTTTTTTCTGCATCTTAATGCATATGTACTCTCTAATCCACTCAAGCATAGTGATAATGGGCTTTTCCCTTGCTTCAAGAATGTTGGAGTTAAATGTTTCACACACATTATTCAGCAACATGTCACACTTTGGCAGTTCAGAAAAAAAAGCTCTTGACCATTGCTGTGGTGGTTTATCAAGAAACCAATTAAAAGCATCAGGACTCATCTTTTTAATTTCAAGCATTCTTATATTAAACTCACCAACAGTGGTTGCTTGTGCTGCTCTCCACACAGCATACTTATAGGCCAAACCCCTAAACCCAGCCTTCAAAAAATTGTTGTGAAGGTGCCTCACACAGAACCTGTGAGTAGCCCCAGGAAAGACAACATCAAAGGCTTTGATAAGCCCCTTCTGCTTATCAGAAATGAAGATATACTGCTCAGACCTGGAAATGCCTAAATCTTTCTTCAGAATTATGAGAAACCGCTCCCATGTTTCAAAACACTCAGTCCCTACTACAGCAAAGGCAATGGGAAACAATGTGTTGTTTGGGTCTACACCTACTGCAGTCAAGAGTATCCCCCTATGTGGACCCTTTAAATGACAGCCATCTACACCCACAATTGGCCTACACCCATTCCTGAACCCCTCTCTAAGAGCATTAAAACAAACATAAAATTTGTTGAATCTCTCCTCACCATCAAACTTCTCAGTGGCAAGAACAACAGTTGACCCAGGGTTTGAAGTTCTCAACTCCTCTGCATAATCCCACAATTGGGAATACTGATCATCAGGCTCAAAGTTTTTTTCCCTCCATTAATAATTGATTACGTGTTTTTATTTTATATTTTTAATTTTGTTTTAATCCCGCGTGGATTTTTGTTTTTTTTCTCTGTTTTTTTTAATTCATTTGGGTGCCACGTCCGCGTCCCGTCTTGCCATGTCAGAGGAGATCGGCCACGAGTGCATCATGTGCGGGCCACGTGACAAATCCGACCGCATTGTTGACTATTGGTCGTCGGAAGGATTAAAATTGCGTTGACTATCGAAGTTACGGGACTAAATAGGAATTTGCTCCGATCCCAGGACTAAAAATGCCACGAGGCCAAAGCAGCGGGACCAAAAATGCAATTTTGCCATAGATAGATAGATAGATAGATAGATATTGCTTAATGTGATTATATTTGAAAGTGATAAGAGAATAAAGCCACTTATTAAAAATTATAACAATGTTCAAGCTCAATCTTAGATAAAATGTTGATTAGGAGTTAAAGTATATAGATAGATAGATAGATAGATAGATAGGTAGATAGATAGATACATATTGTTTAATGTGATTATGTTTGAAAGTGATAAGAGAAGAAAGCCACTTATTAATAATTATAACAATGTTCAAGCTCAATCTGAGATAAAATGTTGATTAGGAGTCAAGGTATATAGATAGATAGATAGATAGATAGATAGATATTTTTTAATGTGATTATGTTTGAAAGTGATAAGAGAAGAAAGCCACTTTTAAAACATTATAACAATGTTCAAGCTCAATTTTAGATAAAATGTTGATTAGGAGTTAAGGTATATAGATTGATAGAAAGATAGATATATATTGTTTAATGTGATTATGTTTGAAAGTGAAAAGAGAATAAAGCCACTTATTAAAAATTATAACAATGCTCAAGCTCAATCTTAGATAAAATGTTGATTAGGAGTTAAGGTATATAGATAGATAGATAGATATTGTTTAATGTGAATATGTTTGAAAGTGGTAATAGAAGAAAGCCACTTATTATGAACAATGTTCATTTTATATATTATGAATGGTAATTTAAAGAATAGACTATTATATCGTAAGATATAAAGTCAAGTATTGATTTAGGGTTTAAGGTTTTGGGTTTAGGGTTTAGGGTTTAGGGGTATGCAATTTCCCCCTTCGCATTTCCACAAGAAAGTTTATTTTTTATTTCTTTCATCTTTCAGTTACTTCTACTCGAAAGTTTATTTTTTATGTCTTTCATCTTTTCTTATGCGAGGGGGTATACGAATTGCCGCATATTGCTCGCATACCCCCTTCGCACTTCTACTCGAAAGTTTATTATTTATTTCTTTCATCTTTAAGTTATGCGAGGGGGTATGCGAATTGCCGCATATTGCTCGCATACCCCTTCGCACTTCTAGGCGAAAGTTATTTTTTATTTCTTTCATCTTTCAGTTATGCAAGGGGGTATGTGCATTGTCACATATTGCTCGCATACCCCCTTCGCACTTCTCTCGTAAGTTATTTTTTCTTTCTTTCATCTTTCAGTTATGCGAGGGGGTATGCGAATTGCCGCATATTGCTCGCATACCCCTTCGCATTTCTACTCGAAACTTATATATCATCTTTCATCATTTAATTTAGTTTAATTTTTTTCTTTCAGGTATAAGTATAGCCACATACATACAACAAACAACAAAAATATAAAAAAAAAAAAAATGCATTACATGAGTTATTAAAAAACTGGGCCGGTAATTGTGTCTTGTTCTATACTAAACTGAAAAATTTCCACAGCAATTTTGCACATTATTTTCCTAGCCCACTGCTTGTCAGACTTGTCTAAGGGCTTCCTCCTCGTTAGCAATGCGCGTATGTTCGTTCCACTTTTGTCATGTTTTCTTTGTTTATTTCATGCTTGTTTTTCCCCTACTTAGGTATTTTTCTTTGGTTTTTGGTCCGTTTCGAGTCGTCTCGTACTTATCCTTTGTTTTAGTCGTTTTTGGTCTTTTTGTTCGTTTTCCCCGGTTTTCCTTATTTCTTGTCGGTGGTGATGTGCAGGTTTGGTGGATCGGTGTATGACTACGCGAAGTCTACTGTCTAGTTGGATGAGTTGGGGTCGTGTTGGAGAAGACGGGATTAAATTCCGAGTCCGGACGAGAGAAGACGAACCCGAAAACCAAAGTTCAGAAATTCTTCGCCGCGGCCGCGGAGAAGAGGAGGTCGCGGCCGCGAGGTGCACGTAAATTCCAATTTCTGGCTCGGGGAGGTCGCGGCCGCGGAGGAAGTCGCGGCCGCGAGATGTTGTTCGCCGCGGCCGCGGAGGTCTAAGTCGCGGCCGCGGAGGTCGCGACAGCAGATTTTTATGTTTCGTTTTTCGATCAGTTTTTCATTCACTTTTTCACCTAGGTTTAGTTCCTCTCTGGATTTTATTCACTCCAAAACAGTTTTTCTCTTAGTTCTTCATAGAATTTGACCTTGGATTGTGAAAACACCAAGATTTAACTCTGAAATTTGGATTGCTCCTTGTTTGTTCAACGTTGGATTCATATTAATCGTAAGTTTCTCTCTTATTTCATTGATGAGGAATATGTCTTTGCTTCATATGAATGTTGATGTTGGACTTGTGATGAGTAGCTAAATTCGTTAACTAGGGCTAGGGGATAATTGTTCCGGTTCAATTTCGTTTGTATGAATGTTGATTGCTCAATCTATTCGAGTTGTGCTAAATCTAGGGTTGAATTGATTGATCACCTTTTTAATCCACTAAATCGATCTTTAGAACCGAAAGGGGAGGGATCGATTGATCTAGGCTCGTTTAGAATAGACTTGTTCGGAGACGTATTGTCTAT